AGGTACTCAAGAGCATCGAGTTCTCCACGGGCGATGATGATGATGTCAAGGATGTGGTCGAAAGTGCCACAGAGTCCAAGGGCCAGAGCGACACTTTGGAGAAGCTTCTCTTGGCACGAAACAAGAAGCTTGGTGACGAGCTGACCATTCTGCGTGTTTCCCACCAGGACTTGCAGACCAAGCTATCTGACCTCCAGGAGGATATGTCGCGGACGAACATGGACCTCGAAAAGTCGCAGAAACTGAACGAGCGACTCGAGAACGACCTCGCGACGCTGCAGTCAGAGTCGTCCAACGCTTTCCCTTCCGGCGCGTCGGTGGCAGGGACATTCAACCGCTACGCCCCATCAATTGCACCGGGACGGAGGGGAGGAGGAGGTGGAGGAAGAGTTTCGCCAACATCGTCCATCATCAGCGGAATCGACCCCCGTATGAGTGGTGGCGGGGAGCCCATGGGCGGCGGCTCCGGCATCCTGCCAATGATCACAGCACAACGTGACCGTTTCAAAAAGCGAATTGCCGAACTAGAGAGCGAACTGTCGGACACGCACCGCACCGTCTCGCAGCTGAGACAGGAAGTATCAGCTCTTCAAAAGGACAATCTCAGCCTTTACGAGAAGACGAGATACGTCTCGACATACAATAGGGCCGGGCCTTCAGCGACGTCGTCTTCGGCGGCATTCTCATCTAACCCGAACCCTTCAACGATTTCCATTGGAGGCAGCGGCAGCCCGGGAATTACAATGGACAGATACAAAAAGGCATACGAATCGAATATTTCGCCATTTGCCGCTTTCCGAGGGCGGGAGTCTGCCAGGGCCTACAAGCGAATGAGCTTCCCCGAACGGGTAGTGTACTCAGTAACGCGAATGGTGCTGGCTTCTCGGACTAGCAGAAATCTATTTGCGGCATACTGTGTCGCGTTGCATTTGCTCGTTTTCTGCTCGCTATACTGGCTCGGTACGGTGGACGTGGAGCAGCATGCCAGTAACCTGGGCAAGTCGGTAGCAGGAGCCGCCGCCGCGGGCGCCGGGGGCCTCAAGGGAGGGGCCGGAAACGGCCACGGCGACTGGCAAGAGGAGGGGTTCAGCGGGCACTAGGCGGTGGTCAGTAAGGTGTCTTCTTGGAAGTTGACGAGAGCGGGGGGGGGGGGAGGGGGGGGAGCGAGATGGATGTCGATTAAGCCAGCGACGAACGACTATGTGGGCGAAAACTGTATGCATAAAACTTGTTTTTTCCGACAACTGTACGATTGGGCGTTGGGACATGTGGTATGAACTGTGGCACTACTTTAACTTAGCTTGGTGAGGGAAGGGATCTCGTCAGAATACAGATGCCAGATCACTTTGAAAACCTAGCTACCGGGGATGAGCGGGAACTTCTTCCCATGATCCGAGATCATCTGGGCGAGATCATATTACCCTTACCTTAGATGCCGTCAAGCAGCGTGGGAAGCGTGGCTCCCCCCCCCCCCCCACCTGGTCCACCACGATGCTATTCTAGGTTTTTTCTTTCCCGCTTCGACCTAGGCAGGCGTGGCAGGCTAGCTAGCTTGCTCCAGTTCCCGAGCTGCCATTCAAATTTCAAGAAACGAAAGAAACAGCCAGACAATTCCCATTCGACGAGGGGCCCCCCGTTGACGCTGGCCCGTCTGCGCGGCCCGGATGGAGCATATGACCTTGCGACCAATGAGAGGCTGTCGCGGCCCTTGGTGGAAGCGCGGCAAAAGCAAGCCTTGGATGTACAAGAGCGGGTACATGCAACGTGGGCGCGTCGCCGGGCCAGAGACGGGTACAACTTTTGTAAGGTGCAACGAGGGTGGTACCGTCCCTGGTTAATCTTCAGTTTGGCCTATCAAGTGTGAGGGTTGACGCGATGTCTTGTTGCTATTTCAGGTTTCTAGCCGTTCTGGTTCGCTATTTTGAAGGGACACACACATGGGGATACACACACATTCACACACTCGGTCAAAGTCCAGATGAAGCAGGCCTCGTCTTTCATTGATATTACTCACCATATTGATGTGAGTGAACATATACATGAAGAAGGACAAAGGCGGACAGAACATTTCCATCTAATAAGGTACAGCTGTTGATACTATGTTTGCCAAGGTATAGTTGACAGAAAATAACCTGCATCGTCTTCACTCGCTTATTCCTTAATGTGTCCAAAATGACCTCTCTGCCAACGTACCCAAGGTAAGTAATCCGGTCTCAACTTGAGTCCTTAGAAAACGTAGTACGGCCATGACTTCGAATCCTCGAGTCCTGAGCAGAAAGCACAACACCCTCAAAACGTGGAGCGCGTCGCTACCTGTCACCACACAACGAGGCCGTTCGAAGCGGGCCGGGCGCTTGCATCTCCCCTGACCCCAGCGAAGATCGCCTGGGCATCCACAACCGCTGGTATTACTTGCATCTCGCCCTTCCACTCATTCGTCCTCGCCAGACCCCCCCTCACTCTCCATCCTCGTCCTCATGTCCTCTCCCGCCCGTCGTATGGTTGCATGGCATGGCGGCTGCCAGTCTTTTGACCATGGAGCCGCTGCGAATACCGAGCCGTTTCCTCGCACACCACGGCGGCAGACCCTCCCCTCCTCCCCCGGCCATCCTTTCCCCCCGCCATCTTTTTTTGTAACCTTGATACCATGCCATTCTGGGCAGGTCAGGAACCTGGTGCCCTAATGAGATGCATTAGTGGCCGTTCTTTGCCGCTGGAGGTGGAAGCGATTTGAGGATGCCGTGGTATATTAGAAACGGCTGCCCGCTTGCACTACGGAACTTGTGTAGCCCACCCCCATCTCCACGGTTCATCTCATATATCGAGAGACGAGTCTGCTTCCCTTTTTTCTTGAGTCTTTTCTAGTTCTCATTATTTCCTAGTCTCATATTTCATTGGTTCAGTTTGGGTTTTTCTTGCTTGAAATTTGGTTCGATATTTCCACTCTTCTGGGGAACGAAGCATAATCACCAACACCAACAACCGAACATCATCGAATACCTTGACATCGCCCCATCGACTCCACGTTACCAACCAACACCACCCATCACATATAACCAACATGCGTTGCTCAACACTGTTGGTGCCGGCACTGGCATCCCTTGCCCTTGCTGCGCCAACGTACCCCACGCTCAACCTCCAAGCCGCGTTGCCGGGTAGCATCGAACAAATCTCCGAGTACTTCAACATGCTGGCAACCAAGGTCCAGGCAACCAAGTATCTGTCCACCGCACCAGTCTGCGACCTCTCCACGGCTAAGCTACCTGAAGGTGAGTTGAGAGAGCCCCCGAAAACCTGTCAAGACCTACCTTATACTCACACCACATGACCCAGCCGCAACCGAGACTCTCGGCAAGCCCAGAGAGGGCCTATCCCTCATGCACATCGCCATCGGCCGCGGAACCCAAAACTACACCTGCGACACCAGCAACGCGACAGCAGTCCCCGTCGCCACCGGCGCCGTCGCGACGCTCTTCAACGCCAGCTGCGTGGGCTCCCTGTACCCGGACCTGCTCGACAAGCTGCCCGTCGTGGCCATGGACTTCAATCTCACCGAGGAGGAGACGAACCGCCGCCTGGGACCGAGCAACCTCGTCATCTCGGGCCACCACCACTTCACCGGCAAGGGCGTCCCGCTCTTCATGCTCGAGAACGACGGCGCATCCGTCGGGGACTCGTACTGCGCCAAGAACGCGTCCATGCCCGCGCCCCTCACGGCGCAGTCCGGCCAGCACGGCGAGGCGGCGGTCCCCTGGCTCCGGCTCCGTACCGTCGAGCCCAGCACCGGGGACGTCCAGGAGGTGTACAGGATACACACCGTCGGCGGCAGCGCACCGGCTTCGTGCCAGGGCCAGGCTGCTACGATTGAAGTCCAGTACGCTACACAGTATGTTGAAACCAAATCTTGATTGAAATTTGTATGACACGCGTGACTTACATGAAGCTTTAGATACTGGTTCTTCTCTGGCTCCGCTCAATAAGTCGGTCAAGTCATCTACCCTTTGATCAACACCCATTTTGCGGAAGTCAAGCACTTGTTATGATTCGAAGGCGTTGGAGGTGTTTTTTTTGGGGGGGTTGCGCAGAAATATGACATAGTTGTTTCTTATTCGATATACCATCATGTATTCCCACGGCAGTTTATAGGTCATCATCTTATCGATGAACCTTTTGTGCTGTGGCTGGAAATTAGGTCGGCCAGTAGACTGAAGCCGCTAGATAACACTCGTAATGGAATGGTTGTCTGTTGAATTTTGTGCTGCTCATTGAGGTGTTTGTACTCATGTAGGAGTGAAGGTTTTTTTCAGTTCATACAGGTAGTGAGACCAACAAGGTGAAGGAGTCACGGCATGATTATGAATCTGCTGCCCTTCGTCATACTTCATCAATATGGAGTCATACTTGACCGATATGGAGCCATACTCGATGAGAATGGCTCACCGCACATATAAGATGGGTGAAATCAGTGGATGAAATGTGATGCTGAGTGAGTAATTGAGTGCATATCCTAAAGAGATAAGAACATTGGAATAATGAGGTGAGTGAGATGACAGTTGGAAGGCACGAAGGAAGAAGCAATAACGGGCAGGTGCATTTCAAGTCTACCTACTACCTAAGGTAGGTACTCCGTAGACCCTGACCAGATCCACCTAGCCCCGGTCCTTGCCGCAAGCACCCCGCCAAAAAGCACAGCGTCCTTGCCAAACAATCCCATGTTGAACGCCTGGAAGGGCTGCGGTACGGAGCAAGGTACGGAGTACTTGCTGATCCCTAGGAAAGTGCCCCACTCTAGGGCCACATGCTGATCCAAGTAGCCAATAGCGCAGCTTCTTTTGTCTGAGAAGACGCTAAAGAGTGGTCCCACAAACCTCCGAGCCGGGCACCTGCCACCAGTGACTTCACTCTTTCTTCGACTCCTGCTGCTGTGCTTTGAAGAGAAATTCCGTGGACTGTCACCTCTCCACTGGATTTTTTTATCCAATCCAACTTCAACCAGCTCACTTCAACCAAACATCTCTTTGAGCACAATCGTTCACATTGATTATTGCACATCGTCAATAGCCAGGTAAGCAAGCAGAAAATAGCCCCTTCATCATCACATCATGGCTAATTCTCTAGCCAGGACGATTGCGCACCTTGCGACTGCGACGATTTGCTCAGCTCGCCGCTACTCGCTCTTACCTACACGATTCCTTGACTTTATCGATTTTTTTGCATTCGACCGAGCGCTCCTGCAGCCACGAATTACAATTATCCAGCGAACCACTCATTGCGGTCAATAATCAGCATTCGCTCGATTTTGGGACAGGCCACTTTCAATCACAAATTATCACAGTCTCCCATTGCCCGAACCGTCCGATCCAACAGCCGACGACGGAGCGACCGAGGAGTGCCGAGCTCCTTCGCCTTTGTCCACCGAGTCTTGACAACCGACACCAAAGCCCAGCCAAGCTTCCCTATGCTTGGTTAATCACCGGTCGAAATGAACAGAAGGGCACCTGCTGCTTCGGAAATGCCCCGCAAACGCCGGCGGATACGAGGACCAAGTGCCATGGCTTCAGACCCTCCCCAGCTCACCTGGCCCACCAGCCAGGTCCCGGTCGAGATCTTTGACGAAATCACCACCTACCTGTCCCGTTCGGATGTCAAGAACCTCCGCTTGGTCAATCACGAGTTCGACAAGATGATCTCATCCAAATACTTCCGCAACGTTGTGGTTCCTTTCCGATCCGAGATGTACAAGGCGAGAAAGCAAAAGTACCTGGATGATGGAGGTGGAGCGCAGCCTCCACTCGGAGTGGACACCCTCTTCTCCAGCGGCATGCGCATCTTTCAGTCCTTTGGCGAGCACATTCTTCGATTTGCCTTGTCGCTCGAGCTGGACGAGGAGAGCCTTGCCTACCCTCCCATCAAGCCGACCCAGAAAGCCGTTACCTCGTACTGGGGTATCTACCGCTGGCCTCACGAGTCGTACAATCGGTATGCGGAACTTGAGGGGCTTGAGCAGACTGCCGATGAGACAGCGTCTATGACAGAGGCCTTGAAGTGCTTGGTGAGGGTTCAGGAACTCGGGCTGTGCTGCGATGCTGGACTGGGCTACCTTCTGGGACCCGACCAGCAGTTGGAGAGCCCTCCCCTGCCGCACCCGGTCTTTGGCCTCCGCAATTTACGATACCGAAACCTGCAGCGACGCCTGGCCCGAGACGATTCGGACTCTATGAATGCCCGAAAGCTCGCCTTTGAGAGTCCTCGAGATTTCAAGTATACCGTACTGGAGGCCATGGTCAAGAATGCCGGGTACACGCAAGAGCAGGCTAAGGACGCTATTGCTATACTCTTGAGCACCGAGAATGTCTCACTGTCGAATATCGACTTTGACGAACGTACCGCCGCTGCTGCTGCCGCTGTCGCAGCCGCCAATGCAGCCGCCCATGCAGCCCAGGCCAACGCTGAAGCTCGTGCCGATTTCATTGCTCACACCACTCCTCAGAACATCCATAACCTCGCCCAGATCTTACTCCAAAATCAACCTCCCCCGTTCATCAACGCTAATGACGCTGAGGATCCCGAGCATGATGACGAAGTTGCTGAGGCAAACGCTGAGGCGAGAGCGGCGGCCAATGTGCTTAATGAGCTCACGGCGGGCCATCCACTACAGCCTAGAAATCTGACTAGAGCCCAGAAGGAGATGCTGCTAGAGTTGGAATGGGCACACCGAGCTCTCATTCAATCATACGTCCTCGCCCTCATCGACAACGCTCGGATGAATAGCTTCAGTTCTTTGACGACCCTGACGATCGCCAAAATTCCCAGCAGCCACGTCTACATGTTTCAAAGGTCGGATTTCTGGCAGAGCCTGCCCAACCTTACCAACGTGGCTCTTGCTGTTGTAGCCGACTGGCGTCAGATATCCAAGGTCGCTCCTGGCTGTGTCGAGGACAACCCCGTCTCGCCCGTAGAGGCGGTGACCAAGGTCTACCGCTTGTTGCAAGACCATATCTCGACACAATCCAACATCAAATTCCTCCATTTCGAGTGGATTTGTGGTGGCGAGTTTGCACCTGGCATCACTCAGCGGAACCAATACGTGCTTCCCGCCCCATTCTGCTCGCCGTCGCAGATGATACACCACGCAGGTGCCAAGTCGCCCGAAACCTTGCTCACTCTACCGCACATCAGACACCTGTCGCTCAAGAACTGCTACTGGGCGCCGCACGTCTTTCTACAGGTTCTGCGGACAATGGGAACCCAGTCTCTGGAAAAGCTGGAACTCGAAAGTGTTTCTCTCACGGGCGCGCCCATGAGAAACCTTCCCGATATCGGACAGGCACATGAACAAGGCCAGGCTCACGGTCATAATCAGCTACCTGCGCTGCCGCCGGCTCCTATGCATCTCCAAGCCAACACGGCCTTCGCAGGTTTGCCAGCGGTTCCGGCCGGAGTGGTGGTCCCTCAAGGCCCGCTGCATGCTCCTGGCGTCTTGCCGGCGCATCTGATTGGCATGATGCAGCACCAAGCTCTTCCGCAAATCGCCAATGTGGCGAACAACGCGGCGCCTCCTCCGCCTCCATCCGATCCATTGGCCGGCTGGAGTAGGATGCGACTAAGACAGCCACGACTGCTGTCTTGGGCTGGCATCATTGAACGTCTCGCCCCGACTCCGCCGATTCAAGAGATCATGGTTGGTCAAGATGACGAAGATGATGAAGAGGATTGGGTGGACGACTTTGTACGAAAGGATGAGGGATTCTCGCTGTTGCTGCGGCCACACAGTCTCGTCAGGGAGAAGGATTTGCTCAGCATTCAGCACATCTCGCTCAAGTCCTGCGGCTACGCAGTCTTGGACACCCCCACGGTTGACAATCATAGTATCATGCCAACCAACACCCCTTGGCAAGAGCCTTCGGAAGTGACTTCGCGTCGACGGGAGCTTATGCCCTTCATGCAGGCCTGCGGCGACAGGCTGGCGGCTAAGATCACCAATTACCTGAACAATCAGGAGCACTTCAACCTTTCGACTGCCTTTGGTATGGATACGGAGTGGACTGGTGTGTACGATGAGGATGTCATTGAAGCTGCAAAGAGGGATGGTATCGTTCATCCTGGAAGAGGACGATTCACGGGTATGATTACCAAGATGGCAGAGCAGGTTTGAGCTGGACTGCTTGGTTACGATGAAAACTGTATAACGATTGGGATTTGGGTGGGCCGCGGGAGTCTTTGATTTTTTCGGCGTTTTTGGCAAAAGATACCACGGACTCAAAAATTGGGACGGATGGGCGGGCGGGATAATGACTGGATGAACCCACAACTCCGTAGCTACCTTATAGTAGGAAGACAACAAAACTTGATAACTCCATCATCGTCTCCATTGTATTTGAGGCAGGTCCACTCTTTGAGTGTTACAATTGACAAGGTCGGAATGGCTCTACAGACCGACCATTTGGACGAATTCCTCGAGGCGCGGTTATTCGAGGACTCGGGCAGTACATTACGCCATCGCACCACAAGGACGACTTTGGGGTGATTGATATAGAAGCAGGCCAAAATTGAATGCATTTCCTCGTAACCGTTTGACGCCGATGCCGATCATGATAGCTAGGGGGGGAATCATTGTTGCATGTTTGTTTATTGGTGGCCCATGCAGACCGTTGCGCGTGTGAATTCGCATGCCAATCCCTAAATGCCATGAGACCATAGCCTTCCTGTACACCAGCATATGAAAAGCCGCAAAGTTCTTTTTTTGTATTGAATCAACGCATCCATCAACCCAAGACCATCCATCCCAGGGGGGTGTACCGCGTTTGTCCACACTTCGCGCCGACCCTTTTTGCTCACGTCATGAACCGCACACGCCACAAAAATCGAAGACCGTCTTTAACTTAGAAAAGAGGTGAGATGGGAATTCGTTTATGCGGCGGTGATGGCCTGGCGGGTACGGGTACCACGCTGGCGGGAGTTGAGTCGGACGTCCTCGCGACCGGCGACGGCCTCGGACTTGGCGACGACCTCCTCGCCCTCGGTAAGGATGAGCTCGATGTGGCAGGGGTTGGACATGTAGGGGTTAATCTGTGACGTGTGTTAGTCTCGCCAAAAGCCTTGTTTCTGAGCTCTCCTTTCTCGCTGATAGGAATGAAGTGGTGAAAACATACGCGACCGTGGGCACGGTATGTGCGTCTCCGTTGCTTGGGGGCCTGGTTGACCTGGATGTGCTTGACGACGAGGTTGCCGGTGTCGAGGCCCTTTGCGTCGGCGTTGGACTCGGCGTTCTTGAGGAGGCCGAGGAGGAACTCGGCCGACTTGACGGGCCAGCGGGCCTTGGTGACGCCAAAGGCCTTGCCCTGGGCGGTGCGGCCGATGGAGCCGGCGTAGCGGCGGAAGGGGACGGCCTCCTTCTTCTCGGAGACGTTCTCGAGGAAGGTGACGGCGCGCTGGAGCTTCCAGCCGTTGATGGCCTGGGCAGTCTCGCGGGTGTTCTTGAAGGACACACGGAGGTAGGAACCGCGCGAGCGGGCCGACTTCGCGGGGGCGATCTCTTGAGCGGCGTAGCGAACCTGGTTGTGACGATCATGTCAGTCTGGAGGGGTTCTTCTGCACGACATGTCCCCATGTGTTGCCTTAATCCTCCTCTTCGTCGACTGTTGAGAGTGACATAATTGAGTCACAAGTCCAGTTTTTTTTTTTTTTCCGACATCGTGAAATTTCGACCCTCTTTCCTCCCAGTTGACGAGGGGTTGAACTTGTCTCGGCGGCGGCAACGGGCGACGGGTCGAAATTTCGTGTCGATTTCACATATTTCCTCCTCTTCGTCGACGAAAATACAGGGGAGCGGCGGTGCGACTTACCATCTTGATCGTTGGGTGTGGTGATGGTTTCGGTGGTCGGTCGGTGGTCGGTCGTGGGCTGGCTGTCAAAGTGAGGTTAGAAGAAATTCACAACTTTCGTTGACCCTAGCCCTCCTGCGCCGGGTTGGCTCGCTTGCGGATCGGGAAACGGCAGGGGGGTCGGCCTTAGGGTTCCGCAACCCTATGGGGTAAATGGACGATTTCTTCCAGCTTTGGCCGGGGAAAAAAAATTGCAATGGGAAAACTGATGAGACTCACGATTTGTCTGATGAACTGATGAACAGCCTGGGGCCTTTGTTGGATTTTCCGGAATGAGTTTGCGGCTTGGAGAGTTGGGACAAATGGAAGGATGATATTTCGAGGTGTTCTTCAATTCCGTTGCAAGCCAGGTTCACTGGACACCACCTTGGGTTTCTGACGCTCCTGCCTTCCTGCGAGGTGTGAGACCCCACTTTGCAGATGGTCCCCACCCTCTGGGTCCCCCCTTATCTAATCGTAAGAAAAAAAAATGCCGGAGAGCGGCACCTCTAAAATTCCGCATTGTCCAATCACCTTGATGACCCCACAATCTTTCCTCTCAGTCTGGCCCGTGCGTACTCTTGAAGCTCTCAGAAAAAAAGTCCGACGAAAAATTTCAAACACCCAGCCCAGTATCCAGTTGTCCCAACCCGCCACCAAGAGGATAAGCATTACCTGCGCCTCTCATCCCCAATTCGACTTTTTTCGCAACTTGGGAACTGCCAGTCTTGTTCTCTTTCTTTTTCGCAACAACTACCCCGACACACATTTCAAAGACAATGGCTCCCTTCACTCCTCGTGGCGGTGGTCGCGGCGGCGGTCGTGGATTCGGCGGACGTGGTGGTGGTGACCGCGGTGGCTTCGGCGGCCGTGGTGGTGCCCGTGGAGGCTTCGGTGGTGACCGTGGTCGTGGCGGCTTCGGTGGACGCGGTGGTGGTCGTGGTAAGTCTTGAGAGAAACTGACGCTTTTCGCAATGTCAAAGGCAGAAGAAGATCGAGCTAACGTGAACCTGCAGGCGGTGGTCGCGGCGGTCCTGGCGGTGGTCGTGGCCGTGGAGGTGTCTCCAAGGGCGGCCGTGGAGGCGGTCCTGGTGGTCAGAAGGGAGGTCAGAAGGTCATCGTGGTATGTCACAACAACGACTCTTCCTTGTGGTGAGAGATTGTCATTAACAAAAGATCGCAGGAGCCCCACCGTCACGAGGGTATCTTCGTTGTCCGTGGCAAGGAGGACGCCATCGCAACCCGCAACATTGTCCCCGGAGAGTCCGTCTACGGCGAGAAGCGCGTCTCTGTCGACAACCAGACCCAGAACGAGGACGGCACCACCACAACCACCAAGATCGAGTACCGCGTGTGGAACCCCTTCCGCTCCAAGTTGGCCGCTGCCGTCATCGGTGGTCTCGAGAAGCTCTACTTCGGCCCCGGCTCCAAAGTCCTTTACCTCGGTGGTGCCTCTGGTACCTCAGTCTCCCACGTCGCCGACATTGTCGGCCCTACTGGATTCGTCTACGCCGTCGAGTTCTCCCCTCGTTCCGGCCGTGATCTGATCGGGATGGCCGCCAAGCGCACCAACGTCGTCCCCATTGTCGAGGACGCCCGCCAACCCCTCAAGTACCGCATGCTCATGCCCATGGTCGACTGCATCTTCGCCGACGTTGCCCAGCCCGACCAGGCCCGTATCGTTGCCATGAACGCCCACCAGTTCCTCAAGGTCGGCGGTGGTATCCTCATTTCCATCAAGGCCAACTGTATCGACAGTACCGCCCCCGCTCACAAGGTCTTCGCCATGGAGGTCGAGAAGCTGAGAGGAGAGCGCATCACCCCCAAGGAGCAGCTTACGCTAGGTTGGTAACCCCCTTTTTCCCCAGGTTGCGAAAGACTCTTGACTAACACATGACAGAACCCTTCGAGCGTGATCACTGCCTCGTCGCTGCCGAGTACTCGCGCTACGCGAAATAAATGCGAGAAAAAAAAGGGAAGATGAAAAAAAAGTATTGTATGCGTTGCGTAAGGAAGAGTGGTGGAAGAGTGGTGGGTGAGCGGTTGAATCTGTACATTTGCGAGATTCCCACGAGATTTGACTTTTGCTTCAATGGGTACGGTCGGTCGGACTTCATCTGGACAGGCGTTAGGAATTTAGGACTGGTCTAGTTCAGAACTTGCATGTTAACCCATAAAGGTATTCAAAAAGTCCTCCGCGGTAAAAATGACATGTTTAATGGGCTCATAGACTTGAATAGGAGTAGTTTGCTGCGCTTTTTTGCTGCCTCATACTCCCCCTTTCGCAGTGACTTGACATCCGTCGTGATGTGCCCTTGCTCTCACTCTGTCTGGCTCTCATTGCCTGCATTGTGAAGTCTGCCAAAAAGCTCCCGAACCCCTATCCCGACATGTACATCTCCAGACTTCATGCAGCCCAGCCCCCGCTTCACTCAATCCCATCCACAAGACCTAAGCCAAGTACCGCCGCCCCACACATCGTCGACCCATCCACCTCTGTCTGACCGGCCCACGACACTAATTCCGACGAGAGCTGCGCCGTCGGCGTTGTCGGCTTGTCCTCTAGCTGCTGCTGCTGCTGCTCACCCCCGATTCTCCACCGCTCCTCGTAGCAGCCGTACTCCACGAGGTCACGGGCAATGTAAACGACCCGCTCCTGCTCGGGCTGCCAGTCCATCGGCTCAGCCGGGCCCCCCGCTCCGACGCTGTGGGCCCACGACTCGACCGACGTGCGTTGCTCGTCCAGGAGAGACAGGATGTGGTTGCGGAAGCGGTAGTTGTCGACGACGAGGTCGCTGCTCTGTTGCTGATGTATCTCGCGTCCGGTATCGTCTATGCTGCGGCGACGTTTCGAGGTCCTGCGGATCGTGGGCTCTAGCTCGATCTCGGGCTTGGGCTTTCGGCGGCGCCTCACGATATCCAAGTAGCCGTCGTCGTTTGTATGGTGGGCCTTTTTATGGCTTGGGGGTTTCGTTCTGAGAACGAGGGCGGTTGAGGGTGACGCTGGGCGCATGGGGATCATCTTCAGATCGCCGTCTGTGTCTGACTTTGCTTCGATTTGGCGGCTGTGTCGGTGGTGGCGTCTGGGGGAACGAGGAGGAGGTTCGTACAGAGATCGGTGTCTTCCTGTTGGGTATTCGACGTCTTTTCGCGGGGGATAGCGACGGGCCTTGATAATGGAAAGCCCCTCTGTGAGACCGGAGTCCGGCTCTGGGCTTGCGTGCCTGCGTTTGGAAGAGCGTTTCGACATCCTGTGTCCTCGTGACATTGTGATGTTCCCCGTGTAGATGGTCAGATCTTTTTCTGAGAGAGGTGGAACGGGTGGAACGAAGATACTAACACGCGTGATTATCCGCCATCTGAAGGGTTTCGAGACTGCTTCGATACGCACTTTTCGGGGGATGTGAGTGTTTGAGTGAGGCTTTCCGTTGATGAAGTATAATTGATTTTATCTTGACTATTCTCGTAAGATATTCTCGCGCAGCTTCTGGCCATTGACATCTTGAGAATCGAAACAAAGCTGGAACAGCCCAGAGCTTATTACGCCATCGACAGGAGAATAAGTTTCTAGAAGCCAACAAACAAGCAAAGACTCCGTGGTGTGATGTACAAGCTACTAGAAGGTATCCATAGAGGGCCGCCCTCGTTCAACCTCGAAACCGAATAAGGAGACAATGGTGAACCTCACAAAGACCCATCGGCGATGACCTAGGCTCCTCTCCCGTTGTGACTTCTCGGGATGACATGTCGTTTCCACCCTCTTCCATCAATGGCTTCAAAGAAGTGAGATTCTGCAGCTTCGGTGGCTGTGGATGAGACGTGGGACAAAGCCTACTCCAGCATTTCGAATCACCAAGACCAGTTCTTCGAGCAGCTACTGTCTTCTGATGAGGAACACCAAGCGAAACTCGACCTCGGATATAGATCAGAGCTGCATCGGCAATGTTAGTCAAATGGCTCGTGAGTAATACTGTCTACTCCGTGCTTCACAATGGAAACATGTGAGTATGAGGATGTCCACCTTTACTTGTTCTACCGTATGATCAAAATCAATAGACCAATTTGACATTGGCAATGCTGATTTTGCCATCGCCAGAAAGATTGACCACCAAATTGAGCAACGATCATAATTCTACAACTAACGCATGTTCCAACTATCACGAAGCCATCGCACCGACCATACTGAACGAGGCTTAGAACCGCCGAAAGAAAGACCGAACTTCATTGGACGTCAAATTGCCCTCGATAAGTTGGCACCTGGCTGGTCTAGAACACCCCGCTAGTGCTGGATCCTGGGTGAGGTTGTAGATCGACCAACCGATGACTTTGTCTCGAACGAGACATCAGACTCCTCGTTTGATGTTACACGATCCACAACTTCACACAGCGACATAGGTAGTCAGCCTCAGCTCTCTGACCAGTACAAGTCTTGACAATCGAGCTATGCCACGCATCAATGGTCTCTGTTCGAACGCCAAGCTGCGTTACCCGGGCAGCTGTTGGGTTTCACGGGACGGAAAGCCGAAGAGACTCACAACATCCTGCTCCAGATTCCAGTAAAGCACAGTGAGGACTTTGAACCCGTCCTGTTGCCATACACCCAGATAATTGCTGCTCCTCGCCGCAATATGACGAAAGCGTTACCCCCGGGCTTCTTTCGGCTTCCTTTGGATCCCTTTAACCGGCCCTGGTCCTTTCAAGTTCTAGCCTCCTTCACTAGATACCTTGCCCAATCCTGCCCGTTCCGCGTGGTTGGACCAGTAAGAGGAACGTTTGGATTCTACCCCTCAGCCCAGAAACATTACCGATTCAGCTTGCGTCTGTCAAAGCGTTCTCGGAGGAATTGTTCAAATTTCGCGATGTCCGCCGTGGTAGCGTACACATCCTTGATAGAAAGGATATCGTTCGGGTTTATTACCCCAGACGCTAGCGCTGTCAAGAAAGCGGCACGTTCAGATTAACCAACCCCCCAATGAGGCAGCTGGCTCGTGTGTCACCGTTTTCTTACGACGGCTGAGTCCAAGGTCGGGGCAACAGGAATCGGGATACTGAGCCATCTTTTCTTCTCCTAACGTTGGCTGGATCCGGAGTGGTTATGGACAAGCGTGGGGACGGATGCAGCGAGCAAAGGACCTTGATGCACACCTTTGGATGAATCACAGCCTTCAGGAGTTCCCATCTGTCCCCAACACCTACCTCGCTCAGTCGCTCCTTCCCACCGCCATGATCCCTCCTTCATCCCTTCCTCTACGTACCTCACCAAGTGGGGCTAAGGGTATATATGCCAACCCAACCTCACTTTCTGTCACCAGCACAGCAGCGTCCGTCTAGGTCGGCGGTCCAGGTAAAGCTGTGTGCGTGGTGTAGTGGTTAATAAAACAAGTACTCCAATGAAGTCAGAGTCCGGGTTGACTGAGGGGCGCGCTGTTCGATTCCGGGCAGGGGCGTGAATGATATGGTCAGTATTCCCCCTCCTTCCCTTTCTGTTATTTTTGCAGAGTGTCTAGAAACCACCTTAGACTAGGCGAAGGCAATGAGAAGGAGTTCGTTCGGTTGGCCAAAGTCGTCACCATAAAGTAGGAAGACTACTCCGTATACTAGACAGAGTTCGGTCATTGCTCATAATGGCTCGAAGAGCGTCTACACCACCTCCCTGACCGAGCCGACAGGGGAATGATATCCTGCAGGCCACGCGGCGTTGTAGCGGCTCATGTTACTTCTGACAGGAACGCACAGACGAGAACCCCGAACAGATGGCCAGGCTCAGTCAGCTCCTATGTACTGATCACGCATATTGCGCATCAAGGACAGACCCTTGAGGCAGGCGAGTCTGGGGTAGGAGAATAGGTGTGGCAGACATTTCGTGACTAGCGTGGTCTGGACTTGCTTTGGTTACCTATCATGCTTGTATACTGTGATACTGTAAGTGAGGGGGTTTGATACCGATCATAGGCAGGAGCGAAAAAACTCTGGAGAGGGCTCTCTCTCTATGTTGCCAACGCGCTAGGCCTCTTTGTGTTTCTCCGCAATCTGCCCACCTTTGCATTGTTGAGGCATCCAGATCCATAGATCCAACGCCCCGGAGCGGAGGCTCGTTTACCAACAACATGTTAGAGTTCGACCACCTGCTTAATTACCCACGAGAAGCCAAGACAAGACCTGGTCGAGAAACTTCTGGGCATTGAGGGAAAAGGGACATTCCAGAGGCTATGGTCAGCCGGCAAAACGCCCTCAAGTCCGTCTGAGGTAGCCATATGAGAGTCCTGCGATCGATGAAACACAATTCAATCCCTTCAGAGGCAATGGGCCGCTGGCACCGAGACGTCGGATCTGTTGGAGCCATGGTTGGAGGCAAAGGTAACATTGTTCGATGCCGTCAGTGGCAACCAGCCTCGGGCACAACGTATCTCTTGTCTATAGTCCTTACATAGCTCCTTCACCGATGGTATATGAGAAGGAGACGATCCGCCGCGGCACAAACTTTGGCACCGAGGATCGAGGCTGGCCAACGACAACGACAAGAGCTCAAAGAAAGGTGGACAGGCAGAGGCGCGGAGGCGCGGCATAAGCCGGTAAATTAAGCTGATGAACGAAGACAGGCAGGGTAAATTTTTCCAGCTCGGGCTAGGCCTTATGGATGGGACCCGCGTGTTGGCTTTGCCATGGTTGGACTCTTGGAGGGGCCGGCGTGTTTGAACTTGGAAAGCTTGTGGTTGCCGATTCCCATAAGAGGTACGGAGTACCTACGGATAAAAGATAGAGAGTACGGAGTCTGGTACGTACCAATGTTCGGAAGAAGGACCCCACTTTCCCCGCTTGGAACGGCAGGCCGGAACACTGGAACAGGCACTTGGGTCCTGGGGAATGAGTGGTGCAGTGTTGGGGTAAATGTGGGTAAATTCCCCATCTTCAATGTTACGCTTCCTGCCTTCATTGGCACGACCAGAAACCTCCCGTGTCTCCTTCTCTTTGGCTCCTGGCCTCCTGCTGCTTCCCTCCGGTCGACCGCACCCAACCAAGTTCATGTCAGGGCATACAGCACTGCAGATTCTATCCGCACTCAACTATCCTCCCCCAGACTTTGCCTTCTTCATGCATTTCAACCCCCTACGCCTCCCATCCTCCGGGCTTTGGCAGGCCTGGTAGCTAATCAGCGCTCGTTCAGGACCTCCAACAGACACCTCGGTACGGCCGTACTATCCCGTCTGGGTCTTCAAACGACGGCACAGCTTGTGCCTAATTGCAAGGTGGCTGTCTGAAACTGGGGTCAGTCGAACTCGATCTACTGTTAAGCTTCGTCGCCGAGGTCTAAGTCACCACCGCGTGGTCTCGTCCAGTCCAACAATTCTTTCCAACAGCCATCTTCCACAGATTCATCACTGGCGTGTGGCTCGGCACCGAGCAGACGGTACGAATTTGCAGACGGCGCGGCGCTGGAAGGTCTCGCTCCGTCCCATCTCAAACCCATAGGAGACAACACTCCAGACGACATCACGACGCCGTCGACCTCGTCTTAGTTTCAATTGTATCCCACGAGCACCCGTTCACCATCAGCTCGGAGACATCGTCGACCTTGGCGCCCTCCACGTGGTGGAAACTTGCGCCGTGCCGCCAGCCGGTCGACGAGATGTTGGGACAAAGCAGCAACCAGCAACCAGCAAAATCGACGGCACTTCGAGTCACTTTGGCTGGCCGTCAAGCTATTTCCATACTAATGTGAATTATTTGAAAGACCCTGCGCGAATCAGCGACTGCACACTGACCGTTGCGTCCCGAAACGGAAAGGTTCTTTATTTCGAGGCCAGAGAACAGTCTTTGTCCAGACCTGATTCACTACGGTAGACTGCCGCTGTGTCACCAGCACATCGGATGATACGGTGAACGCAACATGGACGTCAGTCTTCACTAGCTGCCGCCCTCTACAGCGTGGCAATGCTCTATTAGATTGAATGGTACTGTACGGAACTCTGCAGCAAAACATCAGCACTCACGGCCCGTTTCCGTCAGCACCATCGGAGGGTTGCAGAACGAGACCCTTCTGCAGCTTGAGCATTCCGTCGAAAGTAAGGCCAACTAGCCGTACAGAAAACTTCCAATTTCCTCGCGTCGTGATCCCGATTATTTTATCGGAACTACCCTGCTAGCCTTGATGGAGTCAGCAAACACGAACTGCCTTTGGTCCAACGACGACACATCCAAATTACAGCCCTCGATCCCTGCCTTGCGGTGGCTTGACAAGGGTTTCACTAGGAGGATAGAAGTTGACGGTCCTCCGAGAGGCATCGGTGGCGGCAGGCCAGGAGGCGCCTGAGTGCCAGACAGTTTGGGGGTTGGTACCGTGGTATCCTTCCGCTGACCATCCCGCCGCCTTGACCATGGTTTGCACGTCCAAGCTCCCCGAGAAAACGTGATATTCAGGCCTGAAATACATGGCTGATTTGATTAGGATGACGGGCTCCCATCGTAATGCCAGCTCAGGGGTATCCGATCACCTTGAGGAGGCCACGCGGTGAGGGAGGATGGTGACGGCCATCACTCAGGGAGGTCAGAGATTGAAGGCAATTTTGTACAACGAATACGGGCACTGCAGAATTCCTACGGATATGCAGCTCGACAGCTCACCCAACGAAGGAGAACTTTGGCCCAGGGGAGCCTTGTAACGGCGCTGCTGGGAGGAATTGACCAGGACCACCCTAGTGTCCCCAGGTTCGTCCGACCCCGCGCCAAGCTGGTTGCAGGTGGGCCCGGATGTGGCGAGCTAAGTCCTTCACTTGGCCTGTTCCAGCTTCGACAACATACTTCCTCCTGGCCCCCCTAGTGCCCTCTCACTTCTCTCCACGCGGACATGGCGACCACACCAAATCTCCAGCAATTACTAGGTACCTATCTTGAGTGTCTTCTCTCCTGTGGTTCTCTGTCCAGGAGGGTGCTCACATCCTTACCACACGCCCTGTCCCAACATGGAACATGGTCTCGAGAGAATCCTGGCCAAGCCGGCCCTACAAAGCCCCTGCTACACGCCATGCGAAGGCCTAGGGCCTGCGGCGCCCCGATGAGTTGATGACTGGCTCTTTTCCTTTTTTCTTACATGTTGCCGTCGTTGCCATCACCTCTTATCCCGTCTTCTACGCCTTTTCCGGACCATGTTGGTTCTTGTTTCTCGACAATTCGGCTCCTGGATTCTGGTTCAGCACATCCGTTTGTGCTCTCCTGCAGACCATCCCGGTCAGGAGTTTGCATAGCATCTTGACAGGAAGTTGACATATTGGACCGTCCCCATTGGGCTGGACAACGCCTCTACAACCTGTTGCTCGTCGGAGCCGTCACCACTTTCGTTGGCTGGGAATATTCAGTGAGGGAGGTCTGCGTACTTAACTATTGGCCGTCCACCACCTCAGGAAACCGATTTGCAACATTTCGAGTAAGGCCCACAACCAAGGCCATCAACAACCACTTCCACTTACCAACATTGGTTGCCATCGACGCAGACACCATTCTGACGTTGTTTCGGATCTTATAAAGCGACCCGGCTACACAGTGGACCTCTGCCGGCTCCGTATACTACCACCGACACCATGGATACAACCGAAGAGAAGGCCAACTTGGACAAAGGAGACCTCGACCTTCTCAGCATCATAGAACGGACCTGCTCGGTCTTCTCGCTGCTGGGGTGTGTCTTCATCATTGTCACATTCTGCTCGTCTAGGGCATTTCACAAGCCCATCAACCGGCTTGTCTTCTTCGCTTCCTTTGGTAATATGATGACGAACGTTGGCACCCTCATGGCGAGGTCCTATATTGGTTCTCCGGATTCTCCAGGCTGTCAGCTTCAGGCATTTCTCGTTCAAATGTTGGTATAATGGCCCCACGAGTGATTCATGACTAACACTCTGCAGGTTCATGCCGGCTGATGCGTTTTGGACACTTACTATGGCCATCAACGTCTACTTGACGTTCTATTACAAGTTTGACGCCGAAAGGTTACGAAGAATGGAGATACCGTATCTTATTTGCTGTTATGGAATTCCCTTTATTCCAGCCCTAGTATACGTCTTTATCAGGAACGGCGATGGGTTGAGGGTCTATGGAAACGCGACGTTATGGTGCTGGATTAGGCCTGAATGGGAGATCTGGCGCATTCTCACGTTTTACGGACCCGTTTGGTAAGTTTACGTCTAGCCTCATGTGGCCTCTGCTAACTGGCCAGGATTGCGATCTTGATCACTTTCTTCATCTACATCCGCGCCGGCCGCGAGATTTACCAAAAGCGCAAGCAGCTTCGTAACTTCAGCTCCTCGGACCATGAACAAATGAACTCGTTCCACGACGTTCTCACCTCGATGAAGACAACCGAAGTTTACGTCACCTCGGAAGCTATGGATCAACCTCAAGGCTCTATTGGTCTTGCCACGGTGGGAAGACGTGGATCGGAAGCTGGGCCAGTCCCACAACTACCAAACGCTGCCTACTCCGTCAGCATTTCTGCTAATCGCTATAGCCGCAATGGATCACAGGCCGAAGCGGCCGTCCCGCCTGCCGAAAGTAGCACGGCGGATGCCGCCGGCCAGCGCCCGATGAACTCTGCCCGTCGACGCAACTACGAACTCAACAACGCGGCTTGGTCGTACACAAAGTGCTCGATCCTCTTCTTCACAGTCATCTTGATCACCTGGGTCCCGTCGAGCGCCAACCGCGTCTACTCGGTGATCCATACCAGGGAGTCTTCGACGCCGCTAGAGTTCATGAGCGCTTTCGTTCTCCCGCTTCAGGGCTTCTGGAATGCGCTCATCTACGTGGTGACTTCATGGAAGGCTTGCAAGACGTTGTGGACCGACATCAGGTATGCGTCTCGGCGGCCAGATGTGACGGAAATTGTGGGCAGTTTCAGACACAGCGATCAGTTCAAGATCCCAAGCCAGAACCGTAGAACGAAGAACTACGAGAGCGAAAGCATTACGGAGCTTACGAATAGCCGACCGGCCTCGAATGAGCAGGCATCGCGGTCGTAGTGTATGGAGAAGATGCGCACTTGTCACGATAGCGAAACGATTTCTTGTGGATGATACCCCGAAGCCATGTTGTTGTTTTGGGAGGCCCTGCCGCGGACGCAGGTTTCATTTTTGTTGCTTTTAGGGGGCATTTGATGCGTTGGCATGCCCCAGCAGGAAATTTATAACGATCTTGTCTGTAAAATGTTTCGGTTGTAGATAGCACATCATTTACTGTTCATTTGTCACTACTCGTGACTCCAAAAACATCTTTGCCTTGTGAAACCTGCTTGATCTATCATCTCTCGGCGGACCCGTCATCTCTGGCAGTGTATTTTGCCCAAAATACCATCCAAAGGCGCCGTTGGGACCGGCGCGAACAATGGCCAGACGGACTAGAGAAAAAACGCTTTCGGCTTCCACGTGCCGTCCCAAAGACTAAGATGGGGGGGTTCCTGCATTCTTTCCCAACGGCGCGTTCCTCCTCCCGGGAAGTCTAAGCTCTGGACTTGCACTTGCACTTGCACTTGCACTTGCACTTGCACTTGCTTTTCGTCTCGTCTGGCCTCGTCTCGTCTCGTCTCAGGGCATCGGTGCGTAGGAGCCGTGCCGTATAAGCAGAGCACGTACGCAAGCACGCAAGGCACGGAGTAGGAGGTTGCGGGTACGTGCTTGGGGCTTT